AATCCTCAGACTAACGCTCTATCCCTGAGCCAAACCAGTTTAGGCAAGATGTAAATCTTAACAGTGGCACATGCAGCCCATTAGGATCTGGGCCTGTCCTCCCTCCTATGCTCATCTGCTCCATCCCCCTCTCTGTCAGCTCTGGTACGCCTGCTGGGCCTCCTGCACACACCCAGGCTTCCTCCTGCGCAGGGCCACACGGTGGCTTCTTTCCCTCCTTCACTTTGCATGGTTGCCTCCTTCCCTCCATTTCATTTCACAGCCAGGTGCCCAGTGCCTCTTCTTGGTGCTGGGATTGCCCATGTTCCAGGAACTTCTTCCAAGCCCTGGCTTAGACACACCTCCTCAGAGAGGCCTTCCCAGACCGCCCTCTCAGAAGGAGCTTCCTGTTCTAGCCACTGCCTTAGAAACCTGATACACTTATCTCCTCCATCAGGCTCGGAGCTCCATGGGGCCCGCAGCCTCAGTGCCCAGAACCAGGCTGGTGCCCAGAAGGCAGGAAGTATTGCTGGCTGGCTGGGCCAATTCTTACAACCACTCCTTGAGGTACTTGCTGTGCTAGGCACTGCCCTAATGCTTTCTGTCTAGTGGCATTGCACTTTTACACAGCCCTCTGGTCCCTGCTGTACAGGGCAGCAGCGAGGCACAGGAAAGTTAAAGCACCTACCCAGTGTTGCCCCTGGGAGGGACAGAGCTAAGATCATGCCAGGCTTCCCGTCTCTGGGGGCTCCAGAGTTCGTGTGCTCAGCCGCTGTGTGGTGCCCAGTATATGTGGGAGGCAGGCAGAGGCTGAGAAGGTAGGCTACTCAGCCCCCTTCACGCTGGTTTGCAGCAGAGCTGAGCTTCAGCTCTGGCTGCTGGCTTCTGAGTCTGCTGCACACAGCCGGTGCTGCCTGGGGGGGCTTGGATCCACCAAAGGTGTCTTCCTGGCCTCAGAGCTCAAGTGAGGGGTAGGCAGGCTCCTGATAGTTTCCCTGAGGGGAGAAGTGCTTTTGGGGTGGTAAGGCCCCCTGGGTCCCTGGGCCTCTGCTTGCTGGCTGTCTACTGGGTATGTCAGCCTGTGTGTGTCCCAGTTCCTCAGTCATAGGAGGAGGTTCATCATACCTATTTCAGAGGGGTGTCAGGAGGACTCATGGGGTTACCTCCGGTAAAGAGTCCTTTTACAAATTTTAAAATGTTCACTATGTGTGTATGCCCATGGATTAAAGAAACAGTGAAGCCCCAGTTGATTGGCTTGTACATTGAAAGTTGGCAGGTTCGATTCCCAGTTAGGGCACACACTCAGATTGTGGATTTGACCTCTGGTTTAGGTGTGTAAGGGAGGCAGCTGATGATGTTTCTCTCCCTCCCTCACACCGTCTCTCTCCCTCTCCTTCTCCCTTTCCCTTTCTGTCTCTCTGGGATAAAATAAAATAAATAAAAGCATATCTTGCCCTGGCTGGTATGGCCAGTTGGTTGAACATCACACTGTTCTGGTTTGATCCCCATGCAGGAGGCAGCCATTCCAAGTGTGCTCTCACATTGATGTTTCTCTCCTTCTCCCTTACTATCTCTAAAAAACAACAACAACAAACAAAAAAACACATGGCTTGGTGAATTTCAGGCCAGAAAAAAACAAACCCATGTATCTTGGGGAGTGGATTAAAGAAATAGAATGCACCTGTGTGAGTGGAAGGCCTTTGTGTTGCTGCCGAGGGGGGAGTCCCTCTCGAATAGGTCAAGTCCCAAGGCGTGCTCCCTCCCCGTGGCCCCTGAGTTCTGTTACACGGTGTTCCTCAGTCCCTGCGCCGGCGGGAGAGTGCCCGCTTCATTCCCTGGGCCTCTCCTGGGAGCGGTAGCTTTCATCAGCGAGCAGTGGTGTGGTGCCAGGTGGCTCTACCACAACCTGGCTGTGTGCCCTCTAAGGGGACTGTGCACCTCAGTTTTCACATCAGAAACATGCCCATTCCTCACTGCTCTTAAGAGAGACGGAATGAGGTGGTTTCTGTGGAGCTATTCCTGTTCTCATGTCTCTTGGCGGGAAGGTGGTTGGTTCCCCTGGGAGCTTTTGAGGCGTGGAAGGCACATCAGCTCCAACTCTGGGTGGGAGCTCCCCTCTGCCCCAGACACCATGTTGCAAACCCTTGAGGAATATCCTGGACCAAGGCCCTTGCTTTTTCTCTGAATTCTGAGTGCTGCAACCTTGCAACCTCGGTCCAGTTGGAACAGGATGGGAAGCTTGTCAGGCGTTGGGAGAGCCTGTTACCCTCGTCCAACCTTCCTTATCCCTGAGGGTTCCTAGGATCCCTGTGGGCTGGGCAGCTGAGTCAAGGTGGAGGTAGTTAATATTTCTTGAGCTGAGCACTTTCTGTGTATGTGGTGCTTTGCACACACAGCTCACCAGTATCGCAGTGTCCCCAGCCTACTGCACAGAGGGGCGGACTGGGAGGTATGAGCTTGCCTGGTGGCAGTTACCATTTGAGCCCAGCCTGAGTGGCCCCGGATCCCATTCTCCTGATCAGCAACTCGGCAGTCCAGAGCTCCTGCGGTGCGGGGTGTGTTTGCTCAGGCGGCTGTTGTGGGCTGTCAGTGTTCTCCCTTACAAACAAAGACAGGCGTGAGCTATGCATCTTAGTCGGCAACTTGCTGCTTTTCATGTGACAGTCTCTGTGTATGAGATATATACATTTTAAAAAATATGTATTAACATATCTCTTAGGAGATTGGTGATTTTTTTAAAACCCATTGTTAATTTTCTAAGAAAACAGTTATGATCTAATAAAGTAAATTATTTTCCAAAATACAAAAATATTAATGTAGGCACGGGAATTTATATTGTAATTGGTTCCAAAGAGGCCCAGGGTGAAACAAGTTGAGAAATGCCTGCCTGAGGCATTGTGCACTGGGCCTTGGTGTGCTCCATAGGGATGTGCACGGGCCTCAGTGAGCTCCATCGGGATGTGCACGGGCCTCAGTGAGCTCCATCGGGATGTGCACGGGCCTCAGTGAGCTCCATCGGGATGTGCATGGGCCTCAGTGAGCTCCATCGGGATGTGCATGGGCCTTGGTGTGCTCCATAGGGATGTGCATGGGCCTCGGTGTGCTCCATAGGGATGTGCACGGGCCTCAGTGAGCTCCATAGGGATGTGCACGGGCCTCAGTGTACTCCCTCTGATTGTGTACTGGGCCTCGGTGTGCTCCCCATGTGTAATGCAGGAGAAAGGGTGAGTACTCTCCCCAGAGGCAACCAGGGCTCTGTGTGAAGACCACCCTTTTCACAGGTGTTTGTGCTTATGAAGTGCTTGCGCTTATGTGAGCATGTGTGCATAAATTCCTTTTGTTTTGTTTCTAACTCCAATAGCATGATACTATGCTCTGTCTGCACCTTCCCTTTTTTCACTTAAGATATCTTAGGTCATTCCAAGTCTACAAATAGATCTGCCTCATTCTTTCAGCTGCAGGATGTTCCCTCTCTACCTTACAGACCCCTGTGAGCTCAGTACTGTTGCCAAGATTCCCTATGATTTTCTTCTCTCTAGTTTACTATATCGTAAGAATATAGTGATTACTACATATAGCACACAGAATAGGTTTTAATTAATATTATTGGTAAAGCTTCCAGTCAACAATAGGCTCATATTAGTAGCTAAGTTTTGGGGGAGTTAATGGTTATATACGTGGCCCTCTCCAGGTGGCTCAGTTGGTCCTTGTGCCATCTCTACACTGAAGGTTTGCAGATTTGGTTCCCCTCAGGGCACATATCTAGGTTGCAGTTCGATCCTTGGTTGAGACACACACTAGAGGCAACTGATGGGTGTTTTCTCCCTTTCTCTCTCCCCCTCTTCTTTCTCTCGAAAAATTAGTAAAAACATATTCTTGAGTGAGGATTAAAAAAAGTTAAGTGGATTTTCAACCGCGCAGGTTAGTCAGGGGTCAGCTGCAGAGCTGTTTGGTGTGTGTGGAAATGGAGACTCCCAGGTGAGCAGCACAGCAGGGTGGCCCAGGCTTGGCCTTGCGTGACCTTGGGCGGGGGCCTCTGGAGCACAGAACTGTAACACATGCTGCCTGGTAGGTGGGAGGAGCGAGGGCGGGGAGGGGTGGTGGTGGTGGTGGTGGTGGTGGCGGCAATTCTCAGGCTTATTTACATCGCTGTGATTTGGGAGGTTGCCTGCTGGTGCTCTCTGGATTCTCGTATTCCTAGCAAATGTTACGTTTTCCCAACTGTTCATGTGGCTGTTTTATAGACATAAGCAAAATCCATAGGGGTTTCAACAGATACTGCCACTTAAAAATTTGTGGGGCGAAAAAAACTTTTGTGGTGTGGGTAAAAAATGGTGGGCATGGACAATTTCATTCAGCCTTCGTTTTTCTTCTTCTTGGTCTCTGGTCATTTTTACCTGTTCTCCCCTCTCTCCGGACAGAACAGTTTGCAAATACCTGAAGCAAACTCTTCCCCACTGAATCCTTAATCATGAATAACAGACTAGCTAATTGCTCTGAAGCCAGCTCCCTTTGCTGGGACTGCTTCCTTCTCCTCCACGCCCTGCCCCGGTGGGAACCTCTGTCCCTGACCAGTCCTCCTGCAGCCCCTCCAGGGAGTGAGGCAGGAGTCTTACCTTTTAAGATCTTTAGCTTCTCTGGCTAGTGAATGCTTCCTTTTACTCCTGGTTTTCTTTAACAAAACATTGGTTACTTGTACACTTGAGCTTGTCATTTGTTCCGAAGAAATTTAGCGCTGTCTCTTCCTCATTCACGGCTCAGGGTGGCAGCTCATTTTCAGGGGGCTGAGAGAGAAGGTGGTTGTCCCTCTTTGATCATTTAATTGCTACCTGACTTCGGGCGGCCATTCCTGGGACAGATGATCTCTTTCCTTATTGCACTCTTGCTCTGTCCCACTCAGAGGTCCTGTCAGATCCCCAGCTCAGACAGATTGTGCCAAAATGCACAAAGGTGTTTGGAGATGGTGGGACTCGGGCCTTCCGGCCCAGGACTCATGGCTCCCCTGATCTGTCCCCACACAGGGAAGAGTGGATGCGGGCCATCCAGATGGTCGCCAACAGCCTCAAGCAGCGGGGCCCAGGCGAGGACCCGATGGAATACAAGTGTGGCTCCCCTAGTGACTCTTCTGCAGCTGAGGAGATGGAAGTGGCAGTTAGCAAGGCACGGGCCAAGGTGGTAAGTACTTAGGGGCAGAGCTGCCAGCCTGTGAGCACTCCCCCCGGCAAGGTTGGCCCTATCAGCACTGGTTTCCATGCCGAATGTGAGGGGTCCCGGCCCTGCAGGGCTGCCCTGTAGCATGGGTGATCTCACGGTGCAGATGCCCCAGGGCTGCTCTGTGCCCACCTCCTCCTGAGAAGTCAGTAAGACTTGTCCACCCTCACCCTAGCCAGTTTGGTTTAGTGGATAGAGCGTCTGCCCTCAGACTGAAAGTTCAGTGTGGGTTCGATTCTGGTCAAGGACACATATCCCTGTTGCAAGCTCTATCCCTGGCTCTGATTAAGGCTTGTGTGGAAAGTAACCAATTGATGTGTCTCTCTCACAGCGATGTTCTCTCTCTTTGTGTCTCCCCCTCCCTTCCACTCTCTCTCTTAAAAAAAAAAAATCAGTGGAAAAATATCCATATCCTCAGATGAGGAATAACAACAACAGGAAAGTCCCACCCACCCCACATCAGAGCCCTCCCAGGGCCTCAAGTCTGGGAGAGCTGAGTGCTGGGAGAGCGCCCTGGTTGGAAGGCCACTTCAGAACCAGCAGTTGCTGCCCAGAGCCTCCTTCCTGCTCATGCTGGGCAACAGTGTCCTTTGATTTTCCTTTTCCTTTGTGAAAATTTTCTCCCACAGGCCATGTGCCAAGTTGCACTGATGGCCCTGCTCTCTCCCCATCCCTGGCAGACCATGAATGACTTCGACTATCTCAAGCTCCTCGGCAAGGGCACCTTCGGCAAAGTCATCCTGGTGCGGGAGAAGGCCACCGGCCGCTACTACGCCATGAAGATCCTGCGGAAGGAGGTCATCATCGCCAAGGTGGGTGCTCCCCAGGCTGCCCTTGGCTGGCCTGGGGGGGCGCGCGCGCGCGCGCGCGCGCGCGCGCGCACACACACACACACACACACACACACACACACACACACACGGGGCCAGGACACTTACTTGTGCCTTCTGCTGCCAGCATCTCATTTCTCCACCAGTCTCTGGGTTCAGTCCTGTAAGTCCCCAGGCTGGCCTGCCTGCCTAGCTCCACCCCACGCTCTAGGCGCCTGGGGAGGGATATGGAGAGTCTGACTGGCCTCATCCTGCAGGCACTGTCAAGGCCTGAAAGGAGATGTCCCCTTAGGCCGTGAGGGTGGGGGCTTGGCTCAGGGTGTCTCAATAGGAGGCTGGACCAGGAATGGAATTTTATTCCCTTTTTTTTTTTTTTTTTTCTTTAAATGAAAAATTCCTAACATACACAAAATTTTTAAAAGAAAAGTAAGTATAATGGACTCTCATGTAGCCTTCATTCAGCATCAACAACGATCAACATTTGGTCAATCTTGTTTTGTTAGCACTGTCCTCCCCCTTCTTTCTTCTGGAGTATTTTAAGGCACGTTTTAGACAGCGTATAATTTACCCATAAGTACTTAGAGAGGTATCTCCCACAGGTGAAGATTTTGAATACTATAATTGTGGTTCTGTGACCATGTTCAACAAGATGAACAATCCCAATGTCATTGTCCAAGGCAGTGTTTCTCAGCCTCACCCTTTGGGCTGCTGTGGGGTCATGCTGTGCACTGCGGGTGGGGAGCAGTGACCCGGCTCCACCCAGAATGCCGTAGCTCCCTCCCCCCTGAGTTGTAACAATTAAAAATGTCTTCAGACATTGTTACCAATTGTGCCCTGGGCACAGACCTTCCCAGAGGGCGAGCATGTCTGGGCTGTAGGTGGCTGAGGACTGTCAGCAGCTCTGGGTGACTGCGGAGCCTGTTAGTCAGCGGGAGGGCTTGTGCAGCCACTGCTGGGCCCACTCTGTTTCTGGTGGGTCCAGTTTCAAAGTGACACTCATGCTGCCCCTGTGGGGACCACACAGAACCATTACTCCTCAGCCTGGAGTCCTAATTCTAGATCGAGTTCTTCTGGCAAGAACATTTTCAGGCGGCGATTCCCTCGGCCTGTGACACTGCCTCAGGGATCTCACCATGCGTGCTTGTTCCCCCTTAGGGATGTAAACATTGTTCTGTGGGCTCGGAGGTGACAGCCTGATCCCTTCATTGTAAAGTCCCCATCAGCCTCTCGCCTCGTGGTTTTGAAAGCAAGCCACCGAGTGTCCTTGTTCCTTAGGGCTGTGGATGGTGACGTGCCACTCCTGCCCTCCTCACTCTGCATATGGCCAGGAGTGGAGTTGTCTTTCACCAACGTGTTGCCCCATCCCTTAAGTTGGGGGCATGCGTGCTGTCACCCACAGCCCCTCACCTGGCCCTGTCTGTCTGCAGGATGAAGTCGCCCACACAGTCACCGAGAGCCGAGTCCTCCAGAACACCAGGCACCCGTTCCTCACTGTGAGTGCTACTCCCTCAGGCTGTGCCCCTGGGAGCCTCCAGGCCAGCCCTTTGGACAGGCTGGGAGCACAGGCCTAGTGTTTGTTGGCCAGGCGGCTGGGCCCCCCAGCTGGCAGCAGCTTCCTAGACAGTGGCATCATGTCAGCACCTCACACAGGTGCAGGGACCCTGCAGGATGGCCCAGGGGGCACGGCTGCCTCTGTATGAGTTCAAGGCACTTGGCCCAGCTGGTCAAAGTGGGGACGTTATTTTTTGTTTTTATTTACAATGCAATGCTAGAAGCAGAGGTATCATTGTGCTGCCTGTCAACTTACTCTGAGCAGACGCCTCTTTGGGCTACAGCTATTAGTTACATGGACCAGGTTGAGAATGGCTTATGGGTTGTTCCTGTACCTCAGTTGCTTTCTAGGTGTTCTGTTAAGCCACAATACTTGTTCAAATAAGATCTTCTGAGGTACTTCCATGCAGAAGACAGAAAACAGTGGAGTTGTGAGCAGAGGAGCAACGAAGGGTTCTGAGCAGCCTCTTTAGAGCTCCTTAGAGCAGTGTGAGGGCTACTCTTTGTGCAGACCGCTTGTCCAAGTGCCTTTGGGGCCAGCTCCAACTCCCAGCCAGCAGACCTCGTGTGTGTGTGTGTGGGGGGGGGGTGCGCAGGAAGGAGAGAGAGGAAGGGGAGGAAAGGAGAGGGAGGAAGGGGAAAGAGCGTGTGCGTGCTTAATACATTTGACTGTAAAGTAGAGGAAGAGAGATGTGAAATGGCTCTGCTGGCTCAAAATAGTCTCTCTCCTGACCTTGCTTCTTGGAACCTCAGTGGCAGGCAGAGGACAGATTGTTCAGCCTAGTACCCTCCCCCGGCCCTCAGAGCCATAAGCCCACTCACATACCCCAAAAAGGCGAAGCTGAGGTTTGAATCCCAGTGCCCCACTCCTGTGGCCAGGCCAGCAGGGGAGTGTCTGGGCTGAATCGGCAGTGCCCCAGCCACTTCCTTCCCGCAGGCGCTGAAGTACGCCTTCCAGACCCACGACCGCCTGTGCTTCGTGATGGAGTACGCCAACGGTGGGGAGGTGAGCTGCGCTGCCGCCTGGCTTTCTGGGTGTCTCGTTCCCAAGGTGGGGAGTGAGGTGGAGGGTAGGGGGAGACTTTCCGGGGGTCAGCTGGTCCGTCCTCCGCTCCTTGAGGAAGGCATCGCCATCTTCACTTACAGGTGGGGAGACCTCTCAGAGGTCAGTGGCTTGCTCAGACTCACAGCTAGTGGGTGGGACACACACTGAGGTCCCGCGGGAAGCAGAGGGCTGTGCGGGAGGTTGGAGGACAGTGTGGAGGACGTGCTTGGAAGATGACATGCAAAGAAAGCGACTGCAGGCCTTCTGCTTTCCCGAGTCTGTCAGAGCAGTCAGCCCCTTGCTGGTACCCACTCCGGGACCCTTCCTCCTCTCACAGTGGCTTCATCTGCCTCTGGTCTCACACCTGTGGCCACTGCTCATGACTCGTGTCCTCTGCTTCCGTGCTGTCACCCCCTCATTCACTCTCCCCTCCCTGCAGGAAGGCCCAGGACTGTCCCCTCTCCCTGCGGCCAGTCCTTCACGTGAGCTCTTCTCTCAGTTGGTCCTTTTTGGTTGTCCCTTGCCGGTTCATGGAGTAGATTTGACCTTTTCACTGGGCCGCCAGGCAGGGTTCGTCCTTCCCTCCTCTGGGCCAGGGGCCTGATGTCTGCCCCTTTCCCTCCTCCGGCAGCTGTTCTTCCACCTGTCCCGGGAGCGCGTCTTCACGGAGGAGCGGGCCCGCTTCTATGGCGCAGAGATCGTCTCGGCCCTGGAGTACCTGCACTCGAGGGATGTGGTGTACCGCGACATCAAGGTGAGCCTGCCGCCTCCGGTGGAGAACTGGCTGGCCTCACACCGGGGAGCCAGGACGGGTCTGTCTCGTCCAGGTGCCTGTGTTAGCTCCCTCTGGGGCTCAGCCCTTCTGCTCTGGCCCCTGGTAGTGGTTCCACAGCAGGAGCCCTGCGTCGGGTCCCTTCTGAGCCTCCTGTGAGCAAAGGCTGCGGAGCAGTGGAGGGTGTGAATTGGCACAGGCACGTTAGCAGGCAGTTGGCAGCGTCCACCAGCAGTGGGCGTGGGCGCACCCTTGAGCCAGCCATTGTGCCCGAGGCGTGTGCACCACAGGGAACAGGTACTGTATGCACCCCAGTGTGTGGACACTCCTCGCAGCACTAGTCATCCTAGCCCCAGGGGTCCGCTGTCGGAACATGGGTGAAGTCCAGGGGGGTGTTTGCACTCGGGCTGCACAGCAGTTAAAGAGTCTACACTCAGCCACACACAGCAGCGTGGATGTGTCTCACAGACTGGCGCTGGGAAAGCCAGGGCAGTCAAGGCGAGTCTGTGATGACAGGTGTAGGTATGGGCAGGGGAAACTGCAAAAGAGAGAAGGAAGTAAAATTACTTCTCTGTCCCTAGCAGAGGATGGCTAGTAACAGGAAAGGGGCACATGGGATGTCTGAGGGACTGGGAGCATCTTTCTTGACCTGGGGGAGGTTGGACAAAGGCCCACTAAATGGCCCATTGTGTGAAGTTTAGGAAAAAGGAGAGAGATACCTTTCCTCACATCCAAAGTGGGGAGGGGAGGGGAGGCAGGTTCGGGCAGGACTCAGCTCTCCTGAGGGGTGGCCAGGGGCTGGGGAGCTGTGAGCCTCAGAGGGTGAGGGCTTACTCCTGTGCTGGGGTGTGTCCCATAGCTCAGCCTGGGGTCCTTGCTGCGACAGCCCCTTCCAGGCAGGGCTGGGCACGTGGGGTTTGAGGGATGTGGCAGGAAGCCTGGGAAGACATGTTCCTGATACACTGACTTTTCCTACAGCTGGAAAACCTCATGCTGGACAAAGATGGCCACATCAAGATCACTGACTTCGGCCTGTGCAAAGAGGGCATCAGTGATGGGGCCACCATGAAAACCTTCTGCGGAACCCCCGAATATCTGGCACCCGAGGTGTCTGGGCTGTGATGCTGAGGGAGGCGGGGCCCCGGGCTCCCCCCACCTAGACGCTCTGAGGGCGGCTGCATTTCCTTCGATCGGCCTCCCCAGCCCCAGGCAGGGCCTTGTCCCCACTGGCCCAGTCAGCTCCGAGGCCGCAGAGTGCGGGCCTGGCCCCTCATTGCCCCTCCCCCTCAGGTCCTGGAGGACAACGACTACGGCCGGGCGGTGGACTGGTGGGGGCTGGGCGTGGTCATGTACGAGATGATGTGCGGCCGCCTGCCCTTCTACAACCAGGACCACGAGCGCCTCTTCGAGCTCATCCTCATGGAGGAGATCCGCTTCCCGCGCACGCTCAGCCCCGAGGCCAAGGCCCTGCTGGCGGGGCTGCTAAAGAAGGACCCCAAGCAGAGGTGAGGGCTGGCCACTGCCCTGCTGCCCCACCGCCTGCCGCCGCTGCTCCCTCAGCCCACAGGGCGGCGCCCACAGGCACCCGCACTGGTGGGTGTGCTGTGTGGTCCCACAGCCGGCACTTGGAGCACTCCCGGGGGTCAGGCCGTCCTGGTTCTCTGCCTGCACGCCTTGTTTTATGGGGATGCTGAGGACAGGGCAGCCCTTCTGGCCATGGTGGCCCAGGCATACGTGGCAGAGCCGGGATGTGAGATGGCCAAATGCTCTCTCAATCCACCTTCTGGTCTTGGCCCAAGTTGCAGTGTCCTGGCCCTGCCCTAGGCACGAGTTCCCCCCGGCCTCCCGTTCCTCCTCTGCGAGGCGGAGTGTGTGGCCAGGACAGGCTTGTGAAGGCTCTCAGGGCCTGCGTGTCACAGGCCCCCGCCTGCACCGAAAGCGTCTCCCAGAACCTGGCTGCCCGGGAGGCAGGTGCTCATGGCCGTCTCTGCTTAGGCTCGGCGGGGGGCCCAGCGACGCCAAGGAGGTCATGGAGCACAGGTTCTTCCTCAGCATCAACTGGCAGGATGTGGTACAGAAGAAGGTGAGTGCCACCACCACTGCTTCCAGCAGGAGCATGGCCCCTGCGGTGACCTTGGCCAGAGCCTCCTGCCTCCGGGTCCTAAGCCTGGGCTGCTCTCCTCCACAGCTCCCACCACCCTTCAAACCTCAGGTCACATCTGAGGTCGACACCAGGTACTTCGATGATGAGTTCACTGCCCAGTCCATCACAATCACACCCCCGGACCGCTGTGAGTGTCTGAGCCCCCGTGCTGTGGGCTGGCCGGGCGGGGAGGGCGTCTGCTCTGACCCAGCTCTCCGGGAGGAAGCTCGCAGGGCCAGTGAGCTCACCAGCCTCGGTCCAGCCCGTCCAGCGGTCCAGGCAGAGGTCTGGGCAGGAGGTCCTTGGGGAGTCGTTGGTACTGAGATGGCAGGTCCATAGTTGTATTCACAGACCACCCAGGTCTTTGGAGCCCGATTATTCATTGACTGTGTAGCTGTTTGAGTTCTTACTCTGACCCGCCAGTGCTGGGCTCTGTTGGAGACAAGGCAGTGATGGAGACAGCCCTGAGCTGTGCCCTCAGGAGCGCTCAGTCCAGGTGGGGTGACAGCCCAGAGTGGTCAGGACCACAGGGACTGGGGAAACTCGGAGGAAATGCCTGACTGCAGGTCAGGGAGGGCTTCCTGGAGGGGGAGACATGGCAGTGAGACTCAGTTCTGGCAGAAGGAATGGCTGTGGGGCGTCTAGAAATGAGAGAGTTACAGAGGTCAGAGTAGATGGGGAGGGGAGAGGAGAGGGCGTGGACGAGCAGGAGGGTCTTGCCCCCGGGAGGAGTGGGATTACAGGGGCTGTGGAAGGCTTTGTAACGAGGAGCAGGGCTGCATCAGGGTTTCAGAAAGACCTTTGGCTGCATGTGGAGTGTTTGTGGGTCAGAGTGGTGGCCAGGGAAGGAGCTGGGCAAAGGAAGTCTGGGCAGACCTCGGGGTGGACTGAGGTGTGGCAGGGGAGGGGGCGAGAGCCGGGAGCTGGTGGGATGCCGAGGTGGCTGAGTGAGCAGCCCGGAGACCTCGGAGCCAGGGTATGACCAAAGGGTCTCTGTCAGGGAGGAAGTCATGGACACCTCAGCAGCTGGAGTTTCTGCCTGTAGTCCTTCCTGAGGTTCCCTCCCCCTGCCCCCTCCCCGGGAGTCTGTCCGGGGTGCTGGGCCCTCTGAAAGCCCGTCTTCCCAATCCACCTCCGCTGACCTGCAGATGACAGCCTGGGCTCTCTTGACATGGACCAGCGGACTCACTTCCCCCAGTTCTCCTACTCGGCCAGCATCCGCGAGTGAGCAGCTGCCGCCGCCGCCGCCGCCGCCGCCGCCGCCACGGACACGCATGGCTGCCGTCGCCGCCAGGGCTTCGTCTTCTGTTTTTGGTCTTTTTCGTTTGCATCTCCATCCCTCATCCCTTTCCCCCGTTTCTAGTTTTCGCCCTCTGCCAGACTCCTCTCAGTGGACCCAGTGGCCCTGCCTCCAGGGCCCTGTCTGCCCTCACTTCTGCGCCCAGATCAGGACTGGGGAGACTTCGCCGCTGCCCCAGCACCTGGCCTTCGGGCAGTTGGGAAGATTTTGGTTTTTGATCGAGTCCCAGTGGGGAGCGGAAGGCAGGGGCCTGCCTGAATGTGCTGGGCGCCCACTGCGGCTGCCGTGTGCTGGGCGCCTTCAGAGAGGCAGACAGCGCTCTGGGCAGCCCTCCGTGCCTGTCATCAGGCTCCACGTGGCCTGGCGAGGGGACAGTCCAGCCCCTCACCACACAGCAGCAAAGCGGTGATGTCCAGGCCAGGCGGAGCTGCAGGAGCAGGTCCAGGGCTCCCTCGTGCTGGGGTCTGTTACCTGGTGAGGAACCCTAGGGGATGGATGCTGCCTCCCTGTGCTCCACGCTGCTCTCCTGCCCCTGTGGACGAAGTAGGAGGAACATGTGGGGCCCAGTCTGCCCACCCCCAAGCCCCGTGCCTTACCAGGGCTTCCTTCCAGCCAGCCTTACCTCCTGCTGGCCCCGGGCCTGGCCCTGGCCCCTCCCAGGATGGGGCCAGCATTGCCCCTCTCTCTGCCTGAGCAGAGGGGTGCCAGCTCGGCTGTTACACATCTCGCACCGAGACAGTATTGGGCCCCATGAACTTGGTGGAGGAGGGGGCGGGGAAGGGTGTCTCTGGTACGTACTGGGGTGGGACCTCTGAGAAGGAGGCTCCAGGCCACCCCCTCCCCCAGCCCCACGTTCTGCAGCCTTAAGGTGAACGTGTCAGTGCTATAGGCACTCACTTGCGTGCGTGGACTGTGTGTGCTGTTGGTGTCCTTGTGCATCTGAGTGCACATGGTGTGTGTGTGTGTGTGTGTGTGTGTGTGTGTGTGTGTGCGCGCGCGCATGTGTGTTGGGTATGTATGTGTGAGAGCAAGCGTGTTCTGGCCGTGTGTGTGTGTGTGTGTGTGTGTGTGTGTGTGTGTGTGGACTCGGGCCCCTGGCCCTGACCCCAGCATTTCATCCCAGGGGGAGGGGTGCAGGCCTAGAGGGAGAGCCACACGTGAGGTCCCCTTGCCGCCCTCTTCCCCTTCCCCACCAGCGTCTCTGGGTGTTTGGAACCTAAATTTCGTGGTTTTGATCTTCCCACCTCCTGTACTAGCTAGTTCACAGAGAGACATCTGGGGTGGGTGGGGTGGGAGGTCTCTCCTCTTTGTGTGTGTCTGTCATTTATCTGACAGTTCTCCCTCTTCCCCACTGGCCTTTCCCTGTTCCTCATATTTGTACGGTACAAGCAATAAAGACTCGTTTCAGAACGGGCCCACCACCTGGGCCTTCCTTGCTTATGGATTGGCCCCAACTGCCCGCTGCCTCCGCTCCCATTGCTGTTGGGCCCTTTAAGTTGTGGAGGCAGAGAAGGCGTCCGGGGGAGGTGGTGTCAAGCTCAGGCTGGAGAGGGAGGCGGCTCCTGGGAGTGGGAGCTGTTGAGGAGTTTGGGAAACTCTGGGCTGTGGTGGACAGAGGTCACGCAGGTGCTCAGAAACTGCTTAGGCAGAAAGATGTGGGGAGGGCCAGGGCGAGAGGGCCAGGTGGCTCTGAACAAAAGGCTAGGTGAGGTCCTGGCCGGACTGAGGGAGCACGTTCACCTCCCGAGGTGTTTGAGCCCTAGAGCAGGCGTTGCCTGTGCATCTGCACCCCCCCCCCCAGTCCCCATTCATGCTGAACTGGGGAGCCTCAAGGCCCCAGTTCCCCGCAGACTCCTTGGTATACCGCGGGTTTGTGGTGGCTGTGGGCTGGGGGCACCTCAGGTTGGGTCACAGCCCCCCCTCCCCCTTCGTTCTGGAGTCCTCTGACAGCTGGTTCCGTACCCGAGTCCCTCTTCCAGGCTGCCATGCTATGCACAGTGAACTTCAGGCCGGTTTGCCAGAAGCTATTGAGGGCTTCCCACACGGAGGGTTTGAGATCTTAAGTGAGGGAAGCAGAAAAGTTGAGTCCAGGAAGTCTTTGTTTCCTGCGGCCGCGACCTGAGGAATTTTTTGGCTTTTTTCCTAATTTCATATGGACATTTTAAAAATTATAATAGTATGCCTGGTGACAATCAGATAAACAGGCTATGAAGAAAAGCCTTTTCTCGCCCCCTCATCGTCGTCCGAGGGGCCGAGGGGCCGGTGCTAGAGAACCTCAGGGCGCTCTGCGGGTCTGTCCCTGGGACCTGTCGCCGTCCTGGGCGGGTGCCTGTAGGTTAACCAGCTGCTTCCTCCATTGAACTTAACGTCCTTAGATGCAGTGGTGCTTCTTATTCCTGTAGCCCCCAGGTCCCCGCAGACTCCTTCCAGACTCCCAGACTGGAAGTTTTAGGCGAAAAGAATAAAATTTTACCAATTAGAAAAATTAAATTTTGAGTCATCTGTTTTTTGTCATGTGCATGTAGAAAATATCACAAGTTTTGTGTGTGTGTGAAGAATAATGCAACAAAAGTGCAGAAGGAAGTAAAAATCACCCGATCACAGACCCGGGGCCCTGAAGGTTCTCAGTCGCTTTCTGCACAGGTGGGCGTGGCATCGCCAAAGGCTGGCTGCTGCTCCTCTGAACAGCTCTCCTCCCAGGCAATCCGGCCACAGCCCCGCACTGTGTCCTGCCACGTGGAACCCACACTCCCACCGCGTGCTCACTCGGAGGATGGGGGTCGCCATAACGATGAGGCTCTTCGTCCATTTGGAGGAGCTGCTGTGGGCGTGGCTGTGATGCTTTCCAGGGCTGCCCAGGGTGCTTCAGGGGGACACCTCCGCTGAGTGCTCCCTGTCGACAAGAATTTACTTGTTTCCAGGTTTTTTGTTTGCTTTTTGCTGCTACCACAGTACTGAAGTAAACCATAACAATCCACTTTTACTGTGCTTGTGCTTTTATTTCTGTGGCCTATATTCCAAGGGTGCTGCATTTTAATGTGTCAGCTTTCCAAAAAAAGTGTGATTCACGTATTTCTAATGTTGATTAGAAATAATTTCAGACTGGTAGAAAACTTTAAAAAATAGTGCTGAAATGACTCTAGGGTTAGAGCAGGAAATACACAGGACGAACCTGGAGCATCCAATCGTGTCCAGAATTAAGGACCTGAAAGAAAAGAAAACCTCACTAATGGCATGTAGAGGGACATGGAGCAATGGGAAGAGCTGCTAGTGGCCAAAGCTGAATGCAATTCGAGCACCAAAATAGTGTAGGGTAGGTTATACCCACAAGGGTGAGAACAGACAGATCTGTGCAAAAGTCCCAGCTTTCTGTAGATACTCTGCCTTCAGGGGAGCCTGCCCCTCCTTAGACTTCTTCCAAAGAGCACAGCAGAGGAGGGGCAACGCCTGACAAAGACCACATCAGCCGGTGATCAGTCAGCAGCAGTGCCAGTCGTTGGCAGCGTGTCTGATACATGCAGTGAGCAGAGTGCCCTGTCTCTGTGGCCCTCCTCTAGAACAGACTCCCCAGTCTACAAGAAAACAGACACCAGGCAAATTCCAACTGAGGGATGTTCTACAAAAGACCTGCCACTAGTTCTCAAACTGTCAAGGTGGGTCAAAACAAGAAAAGCCTGAGAAATAACCAGGAAAAGCTTTAGGAGACAAGGAGACTCAGTGTAATGTATCCTGAATGGCGTCCCGGAACAGAGAAAGGACAGTAGGTAGATAGGAAATCTAAGGCATGGACTTGAATAACATTTCTATGGTTCATTAAATTGTGACTAATCCTTTTATATAATAAAAGGCTGATATGCAAATCGACCAAATGGCAGAATGACCCCTTGCTATCACTCACTGACCACCAGGGGGCAGACACTCAATGCGGCAGCTGCCTCCTGGTGGTCAGTGTGCTCCCCTAGGGAGCACCACTCAGCCAGAAGCCGGGCTCAGGGCTGGTGAGTGCAGCAGCGGTGGTGGGAGCCTCTCCTGCCTCTGCGCCAGTGCTAAGGAAGTCCGACCGAACACATCCCCGAGGGCTGCCAGACTGCAAGAGGGAACAGGCCGGGCTGAGGGACACCCCCCAAGTGGAAATTGGGAGTGGGGTTCTTGGGAACTCTACTATGTCTGCAACTTTCCATAAATCTATTTTTATTTTAAAAAGTATGAGTAGTTCTTGGAAAGTTGACACATAATGAGCCATAGGTTCCCCACAGCGTTTTACATTTACTCTGTTCCCTCCCCACTCCACATTTACGTATCTGTCCCATAATGAGAACATTATCCAGTGATCAAGGGCCGGAAGTTGACAGTGAAACAATGTTTTCAGACCTTCATCAGACTCTGTAATGGCCACACTCATGTCCTTGTGTACCAAAAAGGGACAATCTCCTGGCTCGCTGTTGAGCCCAGTTGTCAGGGTGGAAGCTAACGGGCAGTTATTTTGCAGATTGCCCCTCAGTGAGGGGTTACTGCGGATGCATCCTTGTGGCTATGTTCAAGCTATTTTGACAGGAATTCCCAGAAATGATGTGCCCTTCTCAGTGCAGCTTACCGGGAGGATTCCAAACAGCCCATGAGCGGGGTGACTGCTCCCCTGGTTAAGGTGCGTTGGTCAGGAGTCTCCGCAGTCACGTTATAACATCCTCTTTGTAGTTAGTATATTGTACAGAGACGTTTGGAGAATGTAAATACCCTGGTTCTCACCACAAGCTCACAAAAGCCAAGCCAGGCAGGTGCCTGATGGGTTTAAGGACCATGAAGAGGACGTGGAGGGAAGGCAATGAAGAGCAGAGGAAATGAGGTTAGAGAGGGCCAGTGGACCTGGTGGGGAGGAGTTCGCTTGTACTGTATGTGTGACAGGAAGCCATCGGTCCAGCATCTCGTTCTGTCTGCGTTGCCAGCCTCTCTGACTTGGCAATACCTCCAATAGCAAGCTTGTTCCTCCTGCAGGAAGGCTGTGGCATCTCCCGGCCTTTGCTTTCCTGGCTCCTTTTCCAGATTTTAGTTCCAATGTCACCTCAAAGAGGTCCTTCTCTAAGTTACAAACCCATCCTTTCCACTCATTCATTAGCAGATATCTACTTAGCACCACGTGCCCAGCTGTGTTCTAGGCATTGGGAACACGGCCATGAAAACAGACACCCTTGCTCTCATGGGGTTCACATTCTAGTCAGGGGGGAAAGAGTAAGTATAGAGAATGGGGACCCGCTGCTCTGGGCCCACAGGTGGTGGCTACAGGGGATTTGCTCACCCCCGAATCCTCTGCCCAGAGCACAGAGGCCTCTACATAGTTGTGAAGTGACTTGTAGCTCCTATGTACTGAGCTTTGATTCTATTAAGCCACTTAACAAACACAATCTTAGAAAATCCTCGGGCCAACTATCAATGGAAACAATCCCTACTTCATAGCTGAAGAGCGGGAGGCTCCACCCTGCAGTAAGCGGAGGACGAGAGCTTGACCCCAGCTGCCTGACCTAAGAGGGTCGGTGCGGTGTTCGCCACGGACCACACACCTGCCCACCTGCCCAGGTGAAGCTTCCTCCGCGCATGCGCCCAGGCTTGTTGAAAGCGCCGGCGGCCGCGGCTCCTGCTCCAGGAGGAAGAGCCGGGCTCCGGGTTTGCCCTCGACGCCAGCCTAGAGGATGCTGGTGAGCCACAGGAGCCTGGGTCCCCTCCCCGCGCGGACGCTCCAGGCGCGACCCCAGTCCTTCTCCCCTGCAGAGTCAGGCAGCCTCCTTTGGCCCAGAGCCTGCGAGCGCCCCGGCCCCCGCCAACGTCCCCGGAGCTGCGGGGAGGCCGGCCGCACGGCGCGCGCCGCCGGGGCTGGAGGCGGCTCTGAGCGCGCTGGGGCTGCAGGGAGAACGCGAGTACGCTGGGGACATCTTCGCCGAGGTCATGGTGAGGTGGATGGGACACTCCCTGGAGGCCGCCCCGGCCCCGAGGGCAGCGAGGGGGTGGGCTGGCCCAGGCCAGAGCTGCTGAGCCCGTTTGATGTGCATTTCTAGACTCCCTCCCGGCCAGCCTGTCCGCCCCTTCCTACCCCACCCAAGTTCCTGGCTGGTTTTCCCTGCACAGTTATCTTCCAATGACTTGTTTCCACCCTCCAGGCTGTTTGCAGTTCCTCCTCTGGTACCTCAGACCCCTCCTACTCGTCCCTCACACTTATTCGTTTAACAAATATTTAGCAATTTGTCAACCAATTTTTTTTTTTCTTTCCTCCCTGTGCCTTAAAA